AAAAAGAGAATGTGGATCGAAAGCAGTTAGCTTTAGACTACATTTTTAATGTCTCAAAGAAATAAATCCCCTTATATTATTCAAGCACTAGATAAAAACTGAATCACTCTAACAATCCCACATTATATTTCTTTTTCTAACAGTAGTAAGAGATATTTCACTCATACGATAACATTTACATCTATATTAGTAGATACAGCTGGCTTTGTGAACCCGATGGGATAATAATAATAATAATAATAAAATAATAAAAGCAGCTAATTTATTAAGCACTTAATATGTGCCAGTCACTATTCTAAGCATCTTACATGTATGAATTCATTTAATTGTCACAAAAGAGCTTCAAGGTAGGTGCTATCATTTATTTCTATTAGTTTGATTCCAAATGCTTACATGCTTTAATTACTCACTGAAACCAAATCATTTTTGCTCAACAACTATATAAACAATTCACCAACATCCAAACACTCCTTCATTCCTCTCAGCAATATAAGTCAAGACAGAAGAACAGACTATTGGTGTAGTCATATGCGTTCGATAAATGCATCACTACTAATATGTTCGTTTTTAATGCTGTTCAAACATTCACATGGAAACAGCTCTAGCGTAAATATCCCTGAACAAATGGCTGTATATTATCCAGGAGGGAGCAGTTGGACCGCCAGACTGGGGAAGTACTAGGCCATCTGGCTCCGGCAATCTCTCCAAAACCATCAGCTTTGTTTTCACCCCCAGACTCCAAACAACACATTTTCCACTGTGATGAGTTTACATTTTCCCAAACACGGGTCCTGATCATGCATAAAAATTCCAAACTTCTTCATTCCTCTATGTGCAAGGAAATTTAAATCACCTGCATTTTTGACATGTTACCAAAGGAGAGAGAAAGCTGCTGAAATGTGGCTCCTGACTATAAACTTGCCTTTTTTGTTTGTTTGTTTCTCCAAATGTATGAAAGAACCTCTCTGCTGGCCCTAGTGAATTCCTTTGGAACTTACTGATATACTAAAAATGTGTTTATCTACCAATGAAGAACCATGAACTGAAAGGGTTGTTAATCAAATCTACGTGGCTGTGGCAGGATATAATGAAACAATCAATAGGAAGAAATGCACTTGCATCAATAACTTAAAGTACCGGGAACATCAAAACAAATATATAAAGAAGATTAGCTTGTAAGAGAAGGAGGACAGCATTTCTGATCATTGTACTTTGGACTTCCCACCCACTATGCTAAGACCTTTTTAGGGTCCCCTTACCACATCACCTACCTTCAAACCCATACATGACAAGGATTATGTGACTGTTATTTTTCCCTTTCCAAAAAAGACGTTCTGTCTGTGGGCAGGAGTTTTTTGTTTTTGATAACTTTATGGAATTTGGTACTCTTTGAATTATAAAAATGTCACTTTTTTTAAAGCAAGATGATGGGAGGGAAGATAAGTTAAAGGCTTTTTTTTTTAAACTACTTAATGTTAACTCACCAAAGCAATCACATAACATAATCATATTTCAAATACTACGTGAAAGTCTGAGATGAGGCACATTAAACATCAGACCTCCCCCAGTGGGTTCATTTGAGCTTCGGCTGTAGATGTTGTTTCTGAATGCAACAGCCATAACCTTCTGGATCCTACAGGCCTTTCTGCATGCTCACTAATGGAATACCAAAAACAGCAATGACACAAAAACAACCTATTTTTAGTCCAGCTAAACTTGGTTTTGAACAACCCTTCCCAAAAGCAAGCCTCTCATTTTCTAGTTGGTGGATGAATTTTTTAAATATCATCATATCCTTTGTGTTTTATGAGAGAGGCATAGGGATAAGGGGGCTCAGATCCTTACACATTGACTTGTAATAAAACTTCTCTTTCTTGGTTGAGTCCAAAATTAAGAGTCATTACCCAAAATAGTGTAATGAGACACTTTGAAAAGGTGTGAAATACTGTGTCATATCAATACATCTTGGTTGATTGAGTACATTTCTGTTTGATTTCAATGCTGCTAACTCCACCCAAGTTAGGAACATTCTATGAAAATGTAGAGTGCACAGGTAGTTTTGGATTTGGTACTCTTTGAATTATAAAAATGATTCCCTTTGAGTTTTAACCCCAACTTCTGAGTCAAAGATAAGACATCACACCCATAAAGCTGCTTCTCTGATATGAAAAATGTTACAAACAAGCAGCTAAGAGAAGACACTTGAACTGTGACTAGGTATTCCATCCAAAATTTAGGATGTGATTAGAATGGGTCACATCACTGGAATTATCCCATTCTGTACTCTAAATATCAAAATCCTGAGTCTATCTGGAAGAATTTTACAGGGGGAAAAAAATTGTAACATTTAATCAGTCAGCTTATGTCAAGTCTTACTTCTGATTGAAGGGGTCACTGCATATTTAACAAAAATAAAAATTTTAAGAAATTTTAAATCAGACTTGGTAGTTAATTATCATAGAATAATTTCAAGTTAGATGAGAATCCATTGTTTTACTCATTAAGACGAAAGTATAATAATTATGTCACAGCCAGGAAAAGTTATGCTTCTTCACACTGATCTGCTTTCTGAAGACTATTGTATTCACTGTGTCTACAAGAAGCTAACCTCTTCCCAAACTCTTACAGCACATAATCAACAAACAAACAAACAGATAATGGGCAGGGATTGCGTTTCAAAGTGAAACCTACACAGAAGGCAATAGACAATTATTATGAAAACAAACAGGTAGGCCTCAAAAAAAAAAAAATCCCTTTCTCTTGATATTTTTGGAATAAATTCAGATAGTTACTTAAATCTTTTTTTATGTCACTCCCCACCAAAACATATAATTGCATACATTTATAATTTTAACTTTCAGTAAGATGTCACATCATGGCAAATGACTTTCTCATACCTGTTATTATTAAAAATAAACTGTATCTTGTTCTAGTCCCCCACCCCCAACTGACAGAATTTATAATACCATGCAGTCAAAGAATGCCATAAGCTGTAGTTGTTCTTAAGCTCTATGACCTTGTTAATAAATGATATTTGAATGTATTGCTTTATAAAAATCAAAATTATTCCTCCACCATATGGGACTGTGTAAAGTCAATTCATTTCATAATGGGAAAATTAGTTCTTGGTGGCACTTTTTGTTGAAGGGGTCTAAAAGTTTTGGAAGCAGTTAATCACTTCAGACATGTCCTAATTTTGCACTCCTCACAATTGTTTGTTTCATAGTGCTGCCTATAATTTAATATTTAAGTGGCCAATGTTGCACAAGTATACAGGCCTTACAGGCTGGTTTGTGGGGATTTTTATCTTTTAAAAAGCAGTTTCTAATAAATACATACGGAATATGTATTATAGTTCATACTTTTGCCCTCCCCCTTCCCTCTTTTCTTTCCTCTGATGAGAATGGCAGGAAAAGATATCTAGGGTATCAAAGACAATTTTTTAAAATAAAACTCCACTTAAGACATTTTTGTTTTGATAAAAAAAAAAAATGGTACTGAAATCAGGCTTTTGTGTTTCTGCATGGCAGGGGAAAAAAAATTTTTAACAAAATACAATGTGTCCAAATGAAAGGGAATTATCCTATGTAATAATCAAAATTAGTAATAAAGAAAATAAGACCAAGACTGAAAGTATAAATGTGAATTTACTCTGACCAATCAACCAAGAAATAAATCTTCAAGAAAGTCAAATATTTTAAGCATTTAACTTGAAATAGTCTTCAGTAGGTATTTATTTATTATTTTTAAAACTACATTTCATACCCTCAGGTTTTCTACTTGGTTCACAATGAAATATGAGACTAACAATCAAAATTAGCTGTTATTGAAAGGTTCTTACTGAATAGATTTTAAAACTTCTAACAACTTATGAATGTGCATTTTGTAGAACATATTTAAGCCACGCTTATCTAAAAATACTTTTTAAATATGCATGTATACCCTAATTTGAAAATTTCCAAGTCAGTATCTATGAAAGACAATCACTCTCCTTATTTTGAAGGAACTATCTTAAAATTGTAATCAAGCAAATAAGTTTTATTCCTCTTACTAAATTGGTGGTTAGTACACAATGCATAACTTTGCTCTTTGTTCTAATTTCTTTCCCCCACCCAATAAAGCTGGCTTCTTTTTTGTTACTAAGTGTTCCAACTACCTAACCAGCTACTTAATTCTGAAACTAAACTTTTTCTTAAAATTAAAAAAAAAATAAAAGAGTCCTGTGCCTCATTAAAACGTCAGGCCTCTTTTCTGACTCGGCTCATAATTGTATCTTTTAAACCATAACTCAACCTTAATGTACGCTGCTTGACACCCGCGTGTTGGGGAGCTGTAGAAAATGCCGTCTATGTACCTTTAAGACCACAAGCTCACTCATGCTGCCTGGCTTCTTGCCAAACTTGGAGGCAAAAACAGGAGGATTTTTGCAAAATATCCTCTAACAATTGTCGCTCCCTCTTAATACTACCACCACCACCTCCTTTTTTAAAAATCTGCGGAGTGGGTCATCTGCGCTCTCAGCTCATCTCTCCATTCCTGAGTAAGATACCTAGCCACCACCACCCCCCCCCCCCCCCGCCCCAGGCCAACACACACACACCCTTCCCTACCCTCTACCTCCCAGGAGTGGCCCGGAGGGTTCGGGTTTCACAAGTTCAGCCCACTCTACGCCACGGTCCCTGGGCACCATTTGCGCCCCCTGGGGCTCCTCGGCCGGGTCAAAGGAAGTTCAGCACTTACTCTCCCCACTGAGCACCCTGGAGTCTTAATGCACTAGGCCTGCGTCTCCCTTGGTAGAAAAGAGCCTTCGAGCCATCTCCCGCACGCGGTGGGCGCCAGTGTGTGTCTCCGCGCTTGGAGGCTGCGCTGAGAGGTCTTAGATCTGCCCTGGTGTTGAGAGTTTGAGTCCCAGACCCCGCGCTAAGGAGTAGCCAACTTCTTGACTCCCTCAAATTTCGAGGCCCTAGAGTCACCCCGCGGCGCGAAATTAGGAAACTTACTTGTTTTGTCATGGAGTCAATGAGGCGCACGTAGAAATCTTGCTCCGTCCTTATCCCTGGAGGGGAGAGGAGGGGGATAGGGGAACGAAGGAAAAGTAAGTGAGAGAGGATCTGCCGCAAAACAAACAAACAAACAAACAAACAAACAAAGAATGGGGCGCCAAGGCGTATGCAATGCCTACTGTCCCGGAGAAGCACAGACCGGACACCACCACCCGCACTCTCCCCAGTGTCCAGAGAGGGGCCCGTCCCCAAGCACGGCAGCTGAGAATGGGGCAGGACCCCCACCTGGCTTCTCTCCCTTTTCTCGGAGGGAACCCCTCCGCGCGCTCTCTGGGACCCAGCAAGGCCACGACCGCTCCTGCACCCTGAGCCCGAAGGCCTTAGGGCCTGGAGTCGGGGCTGAGCCACGAAAACAGGCCTTCGCAATGGGAGGAAGAAAGAAAGTGGCCCTGCGAGGCCCGGGCTCCACACCTGGTCCCAGGTGTGCTCTAGCCCGCTACAGCCGCCTTCCGGCTACTCGGGGCCTCCTCAGGTGAAACCTCCTCAGGCGAAACTTAGGAGAGGCCGGGTTACCCCGAGGACGGTGGACCACTCTGCGTGCCCAGGACTCTGGTCCACCTGTATCTCCCCACGCACCCTGCCTCACCCAGGGCCCCGGGGTGCCGGCGCGGGCCCGATCGGAGCCTCACCGTTGCTGTAGAGGAGCTGGAGCCGGTAGTGAATCCCGTTATTGGTCTTTTCGCTGTTGGCTTCCTGGGTTGCAGCAGGACGCAAAGACATAAGAGACGCAGGAAAGAGGTCGGCGTGAGCGAGTGGACCGACTTCGAGGCAACTTTCCCGAAGACGGGGCCCCCGTCCGGAAACCGGACAGGCCCGGGAGCAGCAGAAATTGAGGCCAACTGTGATCCCTCTGCCGCCCTCCCGACCCTTACTGCTCCCTCTTCCCTTCCAGAAAATTCCGTGGGGCCTAGGGGCTCGGGCCTGGGCCAGCAGAGGCAGGAGCCGCGCGTGGTGGCGCGGTTGAGGGCGGGTTCATCCCAGGCGCCCTTGACTCTGGAGTGCGAAGCCGGGCTCGCCTCTCTCCAGCTCTGCGGCTCCACGCGAACTTTTTTGGAGCAGAACCTCAGGATGAGGAGCCCGGGTTCGCCCAGGACGGGAAGTGGCTTGGGGGACCCCGCTCAGGAGTGTGTTATGGATGCTTTGCCCTCGCCGAGGAGCGCGCCTCGCGAAGCGGCTGGGCCTGCTCCCCGGTCGGGGGCGAGGGGCAGCGGCGCTGCGCCCACTTACTTTTTCCTTCTCCACGAACCCCACAAAGGCTGTCCTCTCGATCTCCACGGGCTGGCCCTGTCTGTCGTAGAGGGCCAGGACGAAGTGGAAGAAGTTGGATTTCCGCAGATTGGAAGGCGGCTGCTTCTCAAAGTGAGCCCGGGCCAGACCCACCCCGCTGTGGCCAAAGACGCAGAGTTAGACGGCTAAGCGGGACACCGACGCGCGACCCTTTGTCACCCCTTACACACGCGAGAACCCTCAAACATCAACCTCCTCTACCCCCAGGACACCCAGTGGGCGCCCTACACGCCCCCTCCGGCGCCCCGGGCCCACCCGGCGGCGGGACATGCGTGCTCTCGCGTGTCCAATCCGCCGAGCCCAGGGCGCGCCCCCCGAACTCGCGGAAGAGCCCGGGAAGTTTTGTTTGGGTTTTGCGCAGGAGATAAAACCCCGCAAGCATTTTCTCCGACCTGACACGCGCTGCGTGGGAAGGAAGAAAAGTGGAGGTGGATGCGGTGAACCCGCGTTCGCGGAATACAGCTGGTCGTTTACAACTTGGAGGGAGGGGAGCATGGGAACTGGTCCCCGCCACCCCCACGAATCTCCCGCCTCAGCTTCGAGGGCAGGTGAGGATGGATGGGGAACAGGCTCAGCTTCTTGAAGCCGAAGCCATCCTCCAGGAAACCTCAAGTGCCCCCGCCAAGCGCGGACGCTCGGTCTCGGGAAACCGCATGCCCCCTCCCCAAATAAAGCAAGTGAGAAAAAGGATCTGAGGGTGGGGGACTCAGAGCTGTCAGGGGTGGTCGCTGTGGAACAGGGAACTGGGGGTGTTTTTAAAAGACCTGTCCTGACAAAGTTTCGCTGCTCCACAGAAATCCTCACACTCATTCCAGAAATCCTATGGACCAGGGGAGCCGACTGAGCGCGCCCGCGGGAGAACTGGAGGCTCGGGTGCCAGGGGCTCCGGGAGGCCACTAACAACCCGACCTGCCCAACACAAGGGCGCGCTCACACACACGCACACGCACACGCACACATACACACACTCTTTCGCTTCCAACCCAGTTACCCAACTCACTCTCACTACTAACCACCCCCATCCTTGTACTCAGCGGGGATGGGAACAGTGTTGCAGGCACTTGTCCCCTGCCCGGAGAAGATGAGGATGAGGTAATTAGTCATCTTCCTTTTTCCCCTTCCGCCCTCTCGGAGTCCGATAGGGCTAGGGGCCGTCAGATCTCCTACTCCCCTAAGCCCAGCTGGTGGTCTGGAAAAAAAAAAAAGACCATTTCTCACTTGGGACCAGGAGTCCCCGGAAAGTGTGATAAGAGTGCCCAGAAAAGTTCCCGCACGTCAATCTCCAAGGGCAGTGCCTCCAGGCCACACAGTCTAGCATCTCAGGAACTGAGTGGGAGAGGGGCTCTAAGGGACCATGGTGACAGAGGGTGGGGAAGACTTTTAGGAGATGTCAGAATTAAAGTTGGGAGTTGCTGTTCTACCGGTGGACTGAGAAAAACTGAAAGCTAGAGAGAGGGGGATGGAGAACCAGACTAGAGAATTAAGAGAAGGTTCTGGGGAGATATGGAGAGAGAAAAGATGAGAGAAAGGAGGTAAGGGAAGGAGAAGAGAGGAGGGAGGAGTGAAGAAAGAAGGGGAAGGAAAGAATGAAGAAAGGGAGGACGGAAAGAGGGAAGACAGGGAAGGAAGGAAAGGAAAAGAGAAAAGGAAAGGAAGTAAAGAAGGAGGAAGAAAGGAAAAAAGGAAGGAAGGGAGAAGGAAGGAGGAGGAAGGAAAGAAAGAAGAGGGAGGAAAAGAAAGAAGAGAAGGAAAAAAGTTTAGAAAGGAGGGAAGAAAAAAAGAAAAAGGGAAGGGAAGGAAGGAAGGAAAGAGAAGAGAGAAAGAAAAGAAAGAAAAAAGAAAAGAAAAGGAAGGAAGGAAAGTAAGAAAAAGAAAGAGAAGGCAGCCAGCCGGGAAAGAAAGAGCAATCACATAAAAACACAGATATCCAACATCGTGCTGGTGAGACGCCTCTTCTGGCTTAAAACGAAATGAAAACAGTCACAGGCGAAGCAGGGGAAAGTGCCGGCAAAGCGTGGGCTCTTCGCAAGCAGCTCCCGGCTCTCTCCGGCCGCAGGCGACCAAGGCAGCGCGGCCGGGGAGCGCGGAGCCCCGGAGGCGAGCCGAGCGGAGCGGCGGACTCTCGAGCGCGGCCCGGCCCCGCAGCGGCCGCCGCCACCGCTTCCCGGCTCTTCTGCTTGCGGCTCGCCTCCCCGGCCGCGGTCCCCCAGCGGTACCCACCTCTGCGCCGCCGTGTTGGCGTCCAGCACCCCGGCGCCCTGCATCCACGTCCGCACCGCGTTCATGCCGCTGCCCAGCGGCTCTTCCTTCATGCTGCTTCCACTCCGTTGGATGCTTTCCTGAATCCCAAACATGAAAACAACCTTTTCTTGTGGAAAATCTCCTCCCCCTTGAAAATATTGAAAAAAAAAAAAAAAAAAAGGAAAGAAAAACGCCAGCCAGAGATTTTTTTTTTTTTTTTTTTTTTGAGACGATGAACTCGTGCTAGAAGATCAAGGCGGGCTGGAAAGCAAATTTTTAAAAAATGTAAACCTTCGCTCAAAACTGAGCGATAACCCGAAAAAAAAAGGAGAGAAAAAAAAAGAAGGGAAAATCCAACGAAAAGACCAAAATAAAAAAATAGAGATGTATGCTTGGCTGTTGGGGGTTGTTTGGTTGGTTAATTTTTGGTTTGGGTGCTTTTTTTTTTCTTTTCTTTTTTTTTTTTTTTTTTTTTTTTTTTTTTGTAATGATCACAGGCCGGTGGAGGACAGGAGGGGCTGGAGTTTCCTTTTGTAGAGGTACCCTTCACTTGAAGAAGCAGGAAGAAAAAAAAAAGCCCTGATGGCAATTTAAGAAACAATAGACTCAACTCGCGCTGCCGGCTTTGCTACTTCAAGTGTCATTTTCCACAACCAGGCAAGTTTTTTCCTCTCTCTTTTTTTTTTTTTTTTTTCCTCCTTCTCTCCCAACCAAAGATGTTTCTTTCCTTTCAGTGCGTATAGATGAGGAGGACGCTGGTTGCCGTAGACAGATACACCAGAGAGGGAGAGTGGGGTGGGGGGAAGGGGGGAGAGAGGGAAAGAGGAAGGGGGGGAGGGAAAGACAGAGAGAGAGAGAAAGAGAGAGAGGAGAGGGAGAAAGAGAGAGGAGTGGACCCTGCTGGATGGAGATTCTGTTTTCTCCTTGCTAAAATAGAAGTGATTTGCAGGCTTTCCCTATGGAATCCAGTTTGACTCTCCCCAGAGCTAAACACAGGCACACTAACCCCAAAGGGAGGAGGCGGAGCTCGCGCCTCACAGGCCTGCCCCTTCATTTGCATAACGTCATCCTTCCGCCTCGCTGCAGCCAATCGCGGCTCAAGGAGCCTGCTGGCTCGCAGCGCCGGGCCACGCTCCCTCATTAACATCCCTCTCCGGGTGGCGCAGGGGAGCTAGCCAAAGTTCCTCGCAAAGTGGCGAGCGAAGGATCGCTGAACACCGGCGTCTATGCTGGGGAAGAGCTGGGCTGAGCTGGGCAGAGCCGGGCTGGAGAGGGGAACAGACGGAAGGGAAGGGCGATATTTTTCTCAGGGATTTGAGCTGGGGTCTGCATCCTGGTCGTTGCGGTCCATTTAGCATCCTCGCCACGCCCTGAGCGCGCTCGCGGTGCACTGGCTGCGCCCTCCCAGGGCTGATGCTGCGTCCTGCTCCGCTGTTCTGGGACGTCGGGGGCAAAAGTGGAGGAGACGGGAGAGTCCGGGCAGAAAAAGCAGGACGCGCGTCCCAGGTGCCCACCTCTTCGCTTTGAGGAGGGGGTGGTGGGGTGGAAAAATGGGTGCTCGAGGTTGGGGCGGGATCGCGGAGGGTACTTTTCTCCACGCCGGAGAGGTGGGTGAATCCTGGGCCCCGGCAAGCGAGGCTCTGTGGGTCCCCCAGGGAGTAGGGGGACCCGGACTCTGCCCGTAGTCTGGCTTCTGAAATGGTTCTCGCTCAGACGCTAGTCTCGAGGCCGCCGGTGTTAGGCACTATCCTCAACAAGCTCACCTATCTCGAATAATCCGCGGGATATGTAGACGGTGGATGCTGTCACGGAGTTGTATCGGGATGCATTTTTAAATTTATTCAGGTTCAATTCCCAACCCCTCACCCTGCGCCAAAGTGTTTTTTTCTTTAGAGTAACTACCAAAGCAACAACGTCTCTGATTAGTTTGTTATTTGATGTAGGATTTCTCTCTTCCTCATTCTTTCTGTTAAAGTGGGGACTTGAACAAACCCTCCCCAACTTCTGCTCCTATCAGCTGTCCAGAAAGTGAGAGATTGAATTAAGAAGGTGGGGGATGGGGGTAGGAGAGAGGGAGGGAGAAATGGTCTACTATCTCAGACCTTTCTTTATATATGCTTGTGGCTGGCAAAGAAAATAGCTGGAAGTTTCTGGGTAATGTGCCCCATCATTTTTTAGCAGGTTGTAACCTCTAATAAGCACATGGTGAACTGTTTCATTGCCCTCAAAGGAACTCCCTGACTGCAGCCAAATCTGCCAAGGACTCCTTAGGGGAAATTCTCTGCCAGAAGTCCAGGTCCCCTTTCTGCTGGCCTTTCTTGGCCCTTTGATTTAGGAAGCTCATGGGGTCAGTGACGGAACAGTACACATGCCCATGTTGAATGGATGGAGATAGGCAAGAATTACGCTTCATGCTCTTGGCAGAGCAGGAAAGTGAGAGCCACTTCCTGATTCCTAAACTAGGGGGAAAAAAAAAAAAAAAGACTGTCTCAGGCTTGTGAATACATGGCCACTGTCCTCAAACACTACTTTATCTTTGTGCATTAAGCCTGTCCAGCTCCCATACCATTTAATCTGGACCACTAATGTGCTGAGTATTTTGTCCCTGGTAATAATTAATAATTAATTCAGTCTCCACCAAGACACTCCTGAAGAGATGTTTGAACCATCAGGATTCCCATAGCATCTACCAGAGTTCCTGGCACACATAACCTGGATGGTTATGTTGGTGGGGAGATTGGAAGGATTATAGGTTTGTGGGGAGAGGAAAGGGGGAGTTGGACCTTCTTCATCTCTACAGAATTTAAATGCATAATTGAAACTGAGCCTGCTGAAAACTTCCCGAAGCTCCAAGCTTATCCTCCAAGGCCCAAAGTGTCCCCAGAGCCAATCCCTTCCCCTGCGTGGACCATCCCCCGCCTTCTCTAAGGGGATCCTTCAAGCAAGGGGGACCAGGAGGCAGAGGCTACCCTTCTATCAATGAGTCCCAGATAGCCATAGTAAAAGACTCAAGCCTCCCTCTCCTTAATTGCCTGAGCCTCCATTTTACTCTCTAGTGAACTATATTCAGGACTCCAAGTTGAGTCTGGTGAAGTACATACTCCAGTGATGAGGAACACACACTGTGATGGGGATCAGATCACTGCCAAAGGGAAGCAGCAAAGGTGCCAGAGAAAGGAAAGACACAGCAACTATGAGGACCAGGATCAGTGTGAAGCACACAACAGATGGATTTCGAGGAGGTCAGGCAGAATCAAGAAGCCCTCTGCAAATGTTGTGTTTGTTGAGGGGCCTGGAGCTGCCTGTTGCAAAAGGGAAATTGGCCCAGAGAAAGAAGACTTCAGCAGCCCAATTCCTGCCCCAGTGTAGGTAATCTCCAGAAACTAGATAAGAGGGAGGCAATCTCCACATCTGCCAGGTCACTGAAGGAGGAAAAACAAAAGAGGGCAGGAATATTTTGATAAGACTAATTCCCTTTGGCTGTGCAGAAGCAGCAGAAACCTCACCTGGGATGGTGAGTGACTTTCTTTTAATCAAGCAGAGTGTATTCATAGCTTTTCTTCTGGATGTCCTAGTGCTTTCAACCTGGCCTTCTCACCCAGTAATAAATGTTTAAGTAGGAAGGAAGCTAAAGAGAAGGTAGAAAAGAGACAGAAAGGATGATAGAAAATTGGGAACAACACCTAGGCCAGCAGAGTAGTAAGTTTTTGTGGATTTCCTCTGGTGAATATTGAACTAGCGATTGTAATTTTTAAACTTTGAAAAATTCCTTAAACCCTTGTCAACCTTCCCTCATGTGGGGTTAGCATCACTTCCAGGCCAAGCATGTGTGTGGAGGGGTACTGTAAAGTTGTACTGAGACTAACTTCATCTTTTTAATATTATAGTCACTTCTCCTGTGAAGAAAAATACTGTATGTATAGCATTGCCTAGGCTTTATAGAATATCTGTGATATGACTTTAGGGTGGCTTATAATAGTAATCCCCAAATCCCCCTCATCAGACTAATCCAGTGGGGTAATGCAGATTTCCAGACCTTGTCCAGACCTGCAGAATTAGGGAGGAAAAAAGTGAGGGGGGCGGGGAACCTGTGCATAAGAAAAATATACAGCAAGATGCATTTATATGTGGATGAAGCAATTGGAAAAGATGGATATTTCCCCTTGAATTAAGTGTCCCGCTGAGCTTCTCGGAGTTTCTTCTAAAGTGAGGGTTAGCGCCCACTCCCTCCCTCTTCATTGCTCCTGACCCAGGCCTCAGGGTCTCCTAGCGTTGGAGGAAGCTCAGACCCGGTGAGCAAAACACCCTCCACCCCGAACTTTGAAACCTTCTCACTCTTGGCTATCCCGACCCTCTTAAGTCACAGGGAAATCATTTCCCTTTCCCGAAGGGCATCAGTTGCCTCAGTAACTTCCGGGAGGCGCAGGTGGGAACACATGGCGTCCCTCCTCCCGCCCAAAAAAGAGCTGAAACGAGATCAATACAGCCGAACTAGAACTAGCGGGACGTCCCGGGGATAGGGAATCCTCTCGGCTCGTCCGCCCCCAGGAGGCCAGACTTGGGACTTGTCACTTAGAAAATTCCCTCCGTCTACGTTTCCCTTCGGAAGACGCGCCCCCAGAAGGGCCGCCTGCCCGGGGAAATGCCCCCTTCCTTTGGCGGCTAGTCAGAGACCCTTGAGGGTGAGACTGAAGAAAAGACGCCTCCTTCGGTGCCGGGAAGACGGAAAGGGAAAGATGGGGCGACGAAGGCCAAGGGCTCCAAGTCCCTCCGCAGGCGGCCGCTCCGAAGGCGTCGTCTGGCGGCCCGGAGTCGCGGCCGCGGTGGGCAGGGGCCAAAGCGCTGCCCGCAGGAGGAGAAGGCGCGGGGCGCTGGGAGAGTGAGGACCCGAGCGGGGCGCAGCTTGCCCGCGCTCCCGAGCCGCACCCAGACGCCGGCGGGAGCGGCCCCGCCACCCGCGCGCGAAACCCTGCCGCTGCCCCTCGGCGACCTTTACCTGCAGCCCTCGGAGAACGTGTGAGAGCAGCAGGCCACGGTGCCCCCGGAAATCCGCCTGTCCTACCTCCTTGCTCTCAGCCTTCTCTGGCAAGCGGTAAAGGGAAGGGGGACATTCCTTCCGACCCTGATGCCTCTTTCAGACACACACACACCCCAGTGCTGCAGAGGCGGCGGGGTTTGCTCGCCCAGTCTGACATTTCCAGGCCCTGGGAACGCGCATCTCCCCATAGTACAGGCAGGGAAACTGAGGCCTAGAGAGGGACAAAGACACCCGCAGACAGCTAGGACAAGAGCTTGGGGCAAGAGGCTTAAACCAACCTTTCCCGGATCGAGCCTGCGGACTCGCTCGGGTTTCCCCTGGGGCGGTCCCCAGATAATAATAGATACCATTTGTTGAAGGCATTACGGGCATAAATTCACTGAATTCCCACAAGACAAAGAAGACAGGTAAGATCGCCCCCCATTTTACAGGTGAGGAAACTGCCGGCTTGTGATTGAAATGAAACAACCTGTCCCCCGCCTCACTGCGAAAAAAGTCGCCCAGCCCAAATTTCCCGTCGGTGCCCCTAGCGTGAGGTCCAAACCACCCACCCAGCCGCGGCGCATTATCTCTGGAGTTTGCCTTGCGGCCCCGCCTTCCGCTCGGGGCTCTCGAGCCCCTGGGCATCCCGGCTGACAAAGGAGCAGGGGCTCAAGTCGCTGTCCGACGGCAGGCAGCAGAAGGGAGAGAGGAGGGGAAAACGGTTCTGAAAAGTTCTAATGCGTGGGCTGGAGGCGCAGCCCCGGGGGCAGATACCGACACGCGTCTTTCCCGGCAGTCGCAGACGGGGAGCGCGAGGGTGGGGCTAACGCCAGCCCAGGCTCTGCCGCGCTTGGTATGTGACCTCCAGGCAGCCGCTTCTCCCAGTCCGAGCCGAGGTCTTAGAGTTCCCGGCGCCTGCAGGGTCGCCTACTAGATATAGACTAAACAGGACTTTTCGGGGATGCCTGCGACGCCCATCAGAGGGCAGAAATCTGTACACCTGCGGATGCACTTTAACAGAGGAAGACCATATGGCCTTGGCATGACCAATGACAGCTAAAAACTAAAATTACTCTGAGCTAGGAGAATACAGTTGGAGACACAGCCGGAAAGGCTCTCCCAATCCTAGGCTGTCCTGGGGCGCGACCCATACCCCACCCTTGGCCCTTCCCCCACAGTCCTCCAACCCTCTTGCTTGGAGTCTGATCAGCGAAGGGCCCTCGCTCCTGCTGCGGAAAGAGGCTCCAGGATGCGAGGAGGGAGCATCCCGCTGTTTAGAAATTAGTATCTCGGGGCGCCTGGGTGGCTGAGTCGTTCAGCGTCTGCCTTCGGCTCGGGTCATGATCCCGGGGTCCTGGAATCGAGCCCCATATCGGGCTCCCTGCTCAGCGGGAAGCCTGCTTCTCCCTCTCCCACTCCCCCTGCTTGTGTTCCCTCTCTCGCTGTCTCCGTGTCAAATAAATAAATAAAATCTTAAAAAAAAAAA